AGTTAGCCCGCCAACACGTTTTTTCTCTCCTTATTTTTACTATCTAACAAACTATGCTGATATAAAATGTACTTTTTTTTTCTTTTCAATTTGTTTAAAAGAGGGGGTGGATATTGATGATAGAAACTCATTTATCAACATCAAGAGATAAACAATTTCTTTTTTGTTTTCTTAAAAAAAATTAGATATAAATATATATATTTGATAATACACACGTTCTAGGATGTGACTGTTTAATAAATAGATAGATTTTTTTCTAATTTTTTAATTCTGATAATATATTAATGTATGTATTTAATAAATAATGTGCAGGAGAATAAATAAATAAAATTTATTTATTTAAAAACATTTGTTCTTGAATTATTGGTTACTTTTCTAGAATAGAAAAATAAATTGAATTTATCAAATATAATTTCTAATTATTTTTATTTTATAAATTAAAAATTGATATAAAAAAATAGAAACATTACGATACATATCCTAAGTGAGTAGAAAATAACAATATGTTGTGTTTTAAAGGTCAAAATTTGGATCGATACAAATACATTCAATACTAACATAACAAAGATAATTATTCATGTCAAAACTCTCGACGGTAATACGACTCATTTGCTACATAGAATGATACAAGAAGATACGAATTACTCACCATTTTTACTTTTCAAATGAAAATAATTTAAATAATTTCAAATTAAAAAGTAGAAGTGGATAAGTGGAATAAATATATAATTATTTAATTATTTGATTAAAACAGTAGTTACCAACACGAATACTAGTAACACGAATGCAAATATAGGTTGAGAGTAGGGGTGTAAATGGGTCAGGCTGGCCCAGCCCAACCTACGGCTCGGCCTACATTGAGCCCAGCCCAGGCCCGGCCTTTCAGGAAAGTAGAGTAGGCTTAGGCTTATAAAAAAAAAATTAATAAATAGGCCATAGGCCAATTTTGTCAAGCCCGGCCTACAGCCTTGTAGGCTGGCCTATTTAATTTATTAAAATAAAATAATAAAATAATATTTATTTTATGTGGCAAAGACACAAAGTACCAAATACCAATATCTCTTATTTTTTGTGCTATTTTATTTTATGAAAGGAAAACTTGTCTAATGTCTCCAAATTTTACATGTTGTTGCAGCTTAATACCATGTAGCAATGGGTACCTTGCTGAATTATGATGTTACTGATGAAGATCTTTCAATAATAATCTTCTTTCCCTTGTTTTGATGGTGGTTTAAAGATTTTTAAATGAATGACATTCTCTTGTAGACTTTATTTCAGCATCCAGTAATTGTATTTTTCTTATTTTTCCCATTTCTTTGACTCTATTCCTCTATGATATACATTCTAGAGCTGAGGTATTATGTTGACTCTTTCTTGTTTGTCATTTTTTTTATGAGAAGTACTAGTGCATGCATGAATGGAAATTTCTTTGCTCTATACAATTATTGTTTTTGCTTAGTACATATAGTGGGAGGCCTACAAGGCCTGTAGGCCATGTCAGGCTTTCTTATTTTTGAAAATGGGCTGGGCTTGGCCTACAAATAAAGCCTTTAATAGGCCAGTAGGCCAGATAGGCTGATTTTTTTTTACGTAGGCTTGGGCCAGGATGGCCAAAGCCCAGCCCAGCCCAGCCCATTTACACCCCTAGTTGAGAGGAAGACAAAAAATCAGGGAAAAGAATCCTCTCATGTGTAATTTAACATAATCATGTCAGGTGGGAGAATCTTAATCCTTAATAATTAAATCAACGATGATGATTGTGTAACTTTTTATCTTTATATTTTTTCTCCCTCCTCCCTTATTACCATTCATTCACCCATGTATGGTTATGATTGTCCCACATGATATGGTCATGTTAATTAACACATGAGAGGATCCACTCCCAAAAATCAGTGTCGTATTGGAAATATGTTGAAAATTGACACTTCTAGTTTTAAACCATATCCTTGTCCCATTTTCCCTCTTCTTTTTTTAATTTTCAGTTTAATTGGAAGGATTAATTATGTAAAACAAAATAAAAAACTAGGAAGTTTAACAGTAACATTTTAAATAGACCAACTAAACCGTAATGCATAATAAACATATTACTAAATCCTAGAGGACAGCCCCCAGTAATAGCCATATAAGGCTCATTAAATACGATAAGGCCTATTGAATTAGATTAAATGTCAGCATATATATATATATATGGATCAGTAGTCTATTGTAATCAAGTTACTTTACATTTCAATATACAAAATAATTATTCAGTTACATTTTCCTTCAAGATCTTTCCATCTCTCTCTTCGTTTCTCACATGGTATCACAGAGCTAAAAGATCCATGGACAAATCACGAGCTCAAACCTCTGTTCAATCTTTCTCCAACCCAGTCTCATTCAAACTCGATGAAGACAATTTTTTGCCCTGGAAACAACAGGCTCTTGCCACCATCAGAGGCTATAATCTTGATCGCTTCATTGCTGGGGAACTTCCAACGAAACCTGCAGCAAAAGAAAGCTCATCAACAACTTCAGAAAAAGAAAAAGAAAAGGGATCAATGGACAAAGACACTACTGCTGATCAAGAAACCTCAAGATCCATTGAAATACAACAAGATCAACTGTTATTATCTTAGCTCCTATCTTCTATGTCTGAAACAATCTACACAAGAATGGTGGGCTGCCAGACTTCCTTTCAAATCTGGACAAAACTAGAAGAATTCTTTACATCACACACTAGAGCCCGTATGAAACAATTAAAAACTCAATTGAAAACCAGCAGAAAAGAAGGACTAGCATCAACATACCTACTTCAGATCAAAAAGGTTATTGATTCTTTAGCAGCAACTGGATCACCTATAAGCACTGAAGATCACATTGAAGCTATCTTGGATGGCCTTAATGAAGACTATGACAATTTTGTCACCTCCATCACTTCAAGAACCGATGCCTACACAGTAGGAGAAATTGAGGCCCTCCTCATGGCTCAAGAACAACGTATTGAGAGACACAGAGTTCATGAAACCACGACTCTACAAGCCAATATGGCCCAAATGCAATTTCGCAAACCTTACAACCCCTCTAATTTCAACAGAGGCAGCTTCCCTTCAAACAGAGGTGGAAGGTACACTAGAGGACGATTCTCAAGAGGAGCAGGAGGACGCAATACCACCTATCGTCCTTCCTGTCAAGTCTGTGGCAAGCCAGGTCACTAAGCATGGGAATGCTTTCACCGGTACAATCAGAATTATCAAAATCCCTTCACTCAAACCAACAACAACAACAACAGTAACTCCAATCTTCAAGCCAACATGACTGTCACCAAATACCTTGGCCCCAGACAACATGATGAAGACAACTCCTCTGATTTCTTCTCCACAACAGATTCCAATTGGTACCCAGGTTCTGGCTCAACCAATCACTTTACTCCAGACTCCAACAATTTAATCAACAAGACTCCTTATTCTGGCCAAGATTCGGTGCAAGTTGGTAATGGTTCAAACCTGAAAATACAAAACACAGGTTATTCTTTTCTTCATTCAAATGTCAACTCATTAAGATTTACTCTTACTAACCTTCTTCATGTTCCTGGTTTGACAAAGAATCTATTAAGTGTGTCCCAATTTGCCAATGAGCATGATGTCTATTTTGAATTTCATGCTAATAATTGCTGCATCAAATCACAGGCTACTCAGGAGGTCCTTCTCCAAGGCAGAATTAAAAATGGGCTCTATGTCTTTGATGGATCTAATCTGTCCAAGCAAGCTAACATCTCCAATTTAGCTATTACACCTGCACAATTAGATACACACAATACTATTACTTGTAATCACACTACCAACACTATCAATTTAAATCTTTGGCACCAACGCTTAGCACATGCTGCTTTTCCTATTGTAAAATCTGTACTTAGAAAATGCAATATTCCTTTTATAAATAAAACAGATTCCAATCTATGCTCATCATGTTGCATGGCCAAAATGCATCAATTACATTTACCTATTACTGCTACAATATATTCTTCTCCTTTAGAACTTGTTCTCTCAGATATATAGGGACTAGCTCCCATTGAAAGCACTTCAGGAGCACGCTACTACATCCTCTTTGTTGATGCCTACTCCAACTACTCTTGGATCTATCCCATGACCAACAAATCATAGGCTTTCAACATCTTCTTACAATTTAAGACCATGGCAGAACTACAATTAAATACAAAGGTCAGAAACTTACAGACAGACAATGCCAAGGAATATCTCAAGTTTGGTCCTTACCTTTAAGAGCAAGGAATCATCCACAGGCTGTCTTGCCCTTATACCCATCAACAAAATGGGAAACCTGAAAGGAAACACAGGCATATAGTTGAAACAGGGTTAGCTATTCTTGCTCACTCTCACCTTCCCACTAAATTTTGGGAGGATGCTTTTCTCACTACTACTTTTACCATCAACAAACTACCTACCCCCACATTACAAAATCAATCACCCTATGAAACTCTCTTTCACAAATCACCTGACTACCATTTTCTCAAAATATTTGGTTGTGCCTGCTACCCTTACCTACGACCATACAACAAAAACAAGATTGATTTCAGATCCACCAAGTGTATTTTCATTGGCTACAACACCAAACATAAAGGCTACAAATGCCTCTCCCCCAATAACCAACTCATCATAGCCAGACATGTCCTCTTTGATGAGGTTGACTTTCCTTACAGCAAAAATACCACATCCATCTCAACTTACCCACCTACTCAATCATCTACCCCTACTATACCCACTATTCCTATTAATATCAGTCAACATGCTATTGCAACTCCTCCAACCTCCCCTCCTACTACACCAAACACTGCCCAACACAGATCCCCCAACACATCTTCCCCACAATCTGATCCCACCACTATTTCAGTTCATCCCATGATTACAAGGGCCAAAGCAGGGATTTTCAAACATAAAGCCTACACAACTAACCTTGAACCCACCACTGCCACACAAGCCATGACCCAACCCCATTGGCTCTAAGCTATGACAGATGAATATAATGCTCTTCTCAACAATAACACATGGAAACTTGTTCCCCTACCACCAGACAGAACTCTCATTGGCTGCAAATGGATTTTTCGCACCAAGTACAATCCAGATGGTTCAATTCTTAAATACAAGGCTAGGTTAGTAGCCAAGGGGTTTCACCAACAAGAGGGTTTTGACTATCACGAAACTTTCAGTCCTGTAGTCAAACCAGTCACCATTCAGATCATCATCTCTGTTGCCCTCTCCAAAGGATGGCCCATACACCAACTAGATGTCAACAACGCCTTTATCAATGGTGATTTACACGAAGAAGTCTTCTTGCAACAACCACCAGGATTTTTTCACACGGACAAAACTCTGGTGTCACCTAACAAAGGCCCTATATGGACTCAAACAGGCACCAAGGGCCTGGTTCCAGAAACTCAGTAACACCCTACACACTCTTGGCTTCACTACTGCCAAATGTGACTCTTCACTGTTCATATCTATCACTCACACCAGTACCACTTTCATCTTGGTTTATGTCGATGATATACTTATAACAGGTTCATCCTCACAAGTGATTACAAACATCATTCAGTCTCTCCACACCACATTTGCCCTCAAAGACCTCGGTCAACTACACTACTTCCTAGGAATTGAGGCCACTAAAACCACTACAGGAGGATACCATCTTCATCAAACCAAATATATACAAGATCTTATACAGAGAGCAAAAATGGAAAACTGCAAACCTGTTCCTTCTCCCATGGCCTTCAGCATAAAACTCACCTCCACAGATGGATCCACACATCCTGACCCCACACAGTATCGCTCCATAGTAGGAGCCCTCCAATATGCCACCATAACTCGCCCCGATATCACCTTTAGCGTCAACAAGGTCTGTCAATACATGCACCACCCCCTGGACACTCACTGGAAGGCTGTAAAACGTATTCTCCGATATCTCAACGGCACCACCTCGCATGGCCTCACCATTCATCCATTAGAAAATTTTCACCTCACCGCGTACTGTGACTCTGATTGGGCCTCCGATCTTGATGACAGACGATCAACAAGCGGCATCTGTATTTTCTTTGGCTCCAATCTCGTCAACTGGTCCTCGAAAAAGCAAACGGTGGTCAGTCGATTAAGCACCGAAGCGGAATATCGCTCTCTAGCATCTACGATTACAGAACTTTCATGGACAAAATCACTGCTTTCAGAAATTCAAGTTCCTCTTCCGCGATCCCCAACCATTTATTGTGATAATCTCTCCACGGTTCAACTATCAGCCAACCCTGTGTTTCTCTCACGCACGAAGCATTTTGACCTAGATCTATATTTCGTCCGTGAACAGGTGGTCAGCAAGGCAGTCTCGGTTCATCACATCCCTGTGGTGGACTAAATAGCAGATGGGCTCACCAAGCCCTTGTCAAGGCCCAACTTTCTGGATTTCAAATTTAAGCTTCATGTGTTGGAGCCCCAAACCACACTTCAGCTTAAAGGGGGTAATAGTCATATAAGGCTCATTAAATACGATAAGGCCCATTGAATAGAATAGGCCCATTGAATTAGATTAAATGGCAGCATATATATATATATGGATCAGTAGTCTATTGTAATCAAGTTACTTTACATTTCAATATACAAAAGAATTATTCAGTTACATTTTCCTTCAAGATCTTTCCATCTCTCTCTCTCTTCGTTTCTCACACCCAGGAACATTTGTCCTTTTCATATCGAGCCTTTGTATAATCATTAATTTTTATGATCATTACTGTTTATCAGGCCTTTATGTTAGTATTTTGAGTTAGAGGTACGCGATAGAATGATTATATATCTACACTTTTGATGTGCATAGAGGAATGGAGTTTGCATTCATCATTTAACATGACACAAAAAAGTTTCTTACACACATAACATTTTGTGGGGCTCGCATTTTTTGAAGCAAAAAAAAAAAAAACTAAGACACGCAAACTCCATTACACAATTACTTTTTCTACAACATAACTCTTATAAAACCCTAGAAGAATAATATAACACAAGGCAATTAACTGAGATACAATGCAAATTTTTTTTATCTACCGTTTGTCAGTCGATTCACAAATTTTGTGTTATTTGTTATGCACTAAAACAATGCAAACATTTTTTAATAATTTTTAATGGAGAAGATTATACTTACAACCTATTTTTGTTTACAACCTCTTACAACCCATATTTTAACCGTTGATTTTCGTCAATCAACGGTTAAGATTTTCTCAAATAAAATGTATTAATTAATTATTAATTCGCAATAAATGATAACCGTTGATTGACGGAAATCAACGGTTGAGATATGGTTGTAAGAGGTTGTAAACGAAAATAGGTTGTAAGTATAACCTTTCCATTTTTAATTATTTTAATATTTATCATTTAATTTTTCTGACACGCTAATGTCATTTATAATTTATTAATACTGATAATATATTTTTAATTAACTTTTATATTTATCATATAATTACAAATAAAAAATACAATTATATAATTTAATTATAAGTAACTATAAAAAATATTTGCACCTAATCCTTGCCAACTATCAAATCCAGTGTACAGTTACTCCATCAACACTTACTATTAACCTTACAATATAAGGAGTTGGACAATTCACTGCAGCCAACGACAATTTACATTTATGCTTTATAGCATATATGGATAAGCAACTGGAATTTCTATTCATTTTGCATACCATGGACAAAAAAATTAAAATCTTAATGTTTTAAGAAATAATTACGAATATATAATTGTTTTGAAACTATTTACGAATCTATTGTCAGGTATGACTCATACTTCACATGCTAATGAAGGCCCTTGTTGTTGGGGCCAGTAGAAAGGTAACTGGGGTCCCACTTTCAGGTGAACGGGCGGGGGTCTAGGGGACAGCACCCCTAGGCCCGTAGAGGTTAGGTACTATTGTGAGCCTCTGATATTTTGTAATTTTTTCTTTTCTTAGTAATTTCGGCTTGGACCCATGAATAGTTGTTGTTAGGATTTTTCAATCTTAATTATATTCTCCTTGTAAATCGAGTGACTTGGAACGAGTGGTGGTGAGGTGAATATAGTACAAATAAGCTGGACGTAGCCTAAATTGAGTGAACTAGGTAAATCACTGTGTCTATTCTCTCTATCTTTCTCTTTTCGTTTGCGATTTTTGTGATTGTCGATTTTCAACATCTATAACACTTGTTTACGTCTAAACTGGGCGTGAATAGTCACGCCTCAGTTAGGCATGATTCACGAGGCATTCACGCCTAATTCAGGCGTGACTCGTCTGGTGTTGACACGTGGCACAAAAAAATCAACTTATGAACCGTAAAACTTTGGAAGGCTATAACTTTTGACTTTGGTATCCGAATCAGGTAATTTTTTTTGATTTCTCATAACTTTTCGAGATCTAAGCAATGATACCTCATTTGAAATATTTTATCTCTCACAATTTGAATTTGTACAAAGGTATTATAAGAGCATTTAAACTCAAAAGCCTCCGAGTTCTTCTCGAACCGACACCAAACACAATCTTCTTTTTAAAAATCTTGAAATTGTAAAAAATAATACAAAAAACAAACATTAACTCTGTTTCATAGGTAGTGCATGAAGAATGACCTGGTTCTATCTTGCAAGCTCTACCACATCCATCTAAGAGAGATAAGAGCTCGCAGACACAGTGAGAGAGATTGTGTTCTTTGTCTTTGTTGAGAACAATAATGGAAGTGGAAGAGAGCAGGAGCGGGAAGTAGTTTTCTCAAAAAGATTTTTGAAAAAAATGATAATATAATATATGTGGTCTCATTCTGGAGGTCCTTTTTTAAAACAAAAATTAATAGGTGAGTTTTTTGGCTCGGAAGTCTGAATCAGGTGATTTTTTTATTTCACGTAACCTTTTGATATCTAAGAACTGGAAAATTTTCGGAGAATTATTTGTTAATGTTGGGAAGTAAAAAATTAAATAACATTATTTACAAAGATAAAATATGCCAAAAGGGGCATCCAATTGCAGGCTTTTTCATGGGATTTTAGATTCTTCTGGTGGACTTTAAGCTCTAAAACATGTTTAGATAAAAGGGTTTGAGGTGCTATATATGTTTGTAATAGTACGTTAATAGTATAATTCACCTCGAACCTTCTTATCAAAACATGTTTCACAGCATAAGAATATATTTTTAATGCAATACATCAAAAGTTTTGTATTTTTTAATGCAATATAAAGAACATTATATTCTCACCAATTTTTCTCACACTTTTATATTGTGGCACTTTCTTTTCTCACAAATTATACACTATTTTTTTTTCAAACACTTGGTAGAAAATATATGTTTTAATATGACATTATATATTCTTATTTATAGATGGACTAATCTATTTTGATGACATCTTTAATTGCACACCATGACTTAAAAAGACTTTCTCAATTCACAGTGATAAGAATACAACCCATAAGATAGGGGTAGGGAGGTTCTAGTAGGCAGAAGACTTTGTTTGGTGTTGATTCGAAAAGAACTCAAAGGTTGTGGATTTAAAGGTTCGTAGGGTACCATTGTTGCAAATTCAAAATGTGTTTGTGAGAGATAAAATATGTCAAATGAGGTTTTATTGCTTAGATCTCGACAAATTATGTGGAATCAAATTTTTTTTTACCTGATTCGAATATCCAAGTCGAAAGTTATGACCTTCAAAGTTTTACGGTTAAATTATTAATTTTTTTTGCCATATGTCAATACCAGATGAGTCACGCCTAAATTAGGCGTGATCATTCACGCTCAATTTAAGAATGAATGAGTGCTATAGATCCGTAAATAATTTCAAAATAGCTAAATATTCGTAATTATTTACTAAAACAATAATATTTTAATTTTTTTCCGTGTGCGTAGGAAATTGCTTCGCCTTCAAGCTCTCCTTTGTCCTCGCCTTGCTTTCGGTGCAATCAACGCCGTTAGGTTATTTTTTATTTTCCCGTTTTCACATGCGATTTGAAACTTGTGTTTATTCTGTACGTAAAGATGAAATTAATAATACTTTTAATCATAATTATCAAATTAATTATAAAACTATATCTAGTGGAAAAAAATGAATGAATGACCAAACATTATTGTATAAAATTAATTTTGTTTAAAATTGTAAGAGAAAATCATCAAAATATAACTAAGAATGATCTAAATATTTAAAAAAAAAAATCTAGAGTAAAAAGTATATACACTATCCATTTCATAAAATAAAATCATGTAATATATGCACATAAATTACAATCTAAAGTTCATACAAATGGTTTCTTAACATATCAAAATCATCAAAACATTATTGATTGATGCTTTTTATAAACTTAAGAAATATTTAGATGAAAAAGATTAAAAAAAAGTTAACATTAATATATTTAGATTTTTTTAATATTTTATTTTTTAGGCTAGTCAAAATGGGATTGTTGGTATTTTCAACTCACTCACTAGTGGTGGGTCAAACTATCCCACCTTATTTTTGGTGGATTGAAGGTGGGACCAGTGGCCTATTTTGCTATCTCTTATTACACAATATTTATTACCTCAAAAAGGAAGAACTCACTAATCATTAGTTATTAGTGCTACTCAACTATTATAGATATTATTGATTTTTATGCTTATTGTTATGATTTTTTTTTTTTTGAATCCAAGCTGACTTTTCAACGGTATAATTTAATAAATGTCGCGAAGAAAAGTATATGTGGAAATTATTACATAGCATGAACACTAGGAAAGTTTCTGTCAATTGATAGAATCATTATTGTCAAAAATTAATGTAAAAATGTAGAAATGTAGAAGCGGTAAAAATGCTGTTAAAAAATGTGTTAAAACATAAATAAAAGCGGTACTTCCTGGTAAAAATGAGTAAAAATGTAAAAATTGTAGAAACACAAATTTTTAAGTCTTTACTTGAACTCAATTTAAAAAAAAAAAAAATCCTTTTTTCCTTTTTTTTTTAAAACTCAATTTTCTCTTTTTGTGTTTTTGGACTTGTGTTTTATATAGTTATGTGATTTATATCTTTTAAATATGAAGTTATTCATTGAATTTTCAGTAGTGACTTATGTGAATTTTTTTTCCATATATATATATATATAATTTTGTATCTTGACCTTAAAGAGTATAAACTTTACGTTTCCATCCTCTTCCGTTTATATATAGAACCTTGATTTTAACGTTAGATAGAACCAGATTTTAGGTATATAAAAAATCAAGTGGGATCAATTATAATTAAATTACCCGAATTGTATAAAGGCTGTATCATATTGTATGAGATAATTTATCTCACGCAAGACATAGAAAAATGGGTGAGACCCACTAAGGAAAAGAAAGAGAGAAAAAAAATGGTTTCATCCACTTTTTATATATTGCATAATACAAAATAATAAAAACATATTTTTCATTGTATAAATGTGAAATGCGTGTAGCATTATTCTATGCTGCTATAATTTTGATAGGAATGTAAACAATTTTAAGTGAATGGGGGATTCTTAAAAATCATGGAAAACATGGAGCAAATTTGGATGCAGAAAAAATTGTCTCCAAATGTAAAGTCTTGTGCCGACCTGATTTGTTAGCGGTATGAAATATAAGCGTTTAATAATAAAATGTGAAATTATACCTCGAAATGGCCCTTATAAAATCTAACATTAACATCATTGTAATAAACAGTTTAGATTCACAAACATGAAAAAGTTATCGAATCTAATGGCCAAAGAAAGCAAAAACAAAAAATAACGAGTAAATTAAAAACAATGGAATTTCACAATCTGGCAGCATGCGCTAAACCAGAACTAGGAATGATTTAATCATCCAAAAATTCTGAAATTTAGATACAAGAAATTAAACATATGGGACTTTCTAAAGACATATAATTAATAATTTTTAGCTAAACGAGTGAAAGAGATATCTATTAAGTTAATAAAAATTTGAAGGGTGGCTCCTAATTTTCATCATCTTCAAAATAACATACCCTTAGCTGGAGTTCATCACTGCTAGAAAAGTCATTATTTTCGACGGAAAAAAATTTCGTGACAAATACTGACGGAATTTTCGACAAAATTCATTTATCGTTGAATTTTTTTGACGAAAAACAGATTCCGTCAAAATCTTTCGACGGAAAATGAATTCCGTCGAAAACGGATGAATAAAATAAATAGGAAAAGAAATTTTTTTGTGAAGGTTTACAACGAAAAATGGATTCCGTCGAAGATTTTTGACGGAAAACGAATTCCGTCGAAAACGGTTGAATAAAATAAATGAAAAAGAAATTGATTTTGTGAAAATTTTCGACGAAAAATGGATTCCGTCGAAGATTTTTGATGAAAAATGAATTCCGTCGAAAACGGTTGAATAAAATAAATGAAAAAGAAATTGATTTTGTGAAAATTTTCGACGAAAAATGGATTCCATCGAAGATTTTTGACGGAAAATGAATTTCGTCGAAAACGGTTGAATAAAATAAATGAAAAAGAAATTGATTTTGTGAAAATTTTCGACGGAAAATGGATTTCGTCGAAGATTTTTGACAAAAAACGAATTCCGTCGAAAATGGATGAATAAAATAAATGGAAAAGAAATTGATTTTGTGAAGATTTTCGACGAAAAATGGATTCTGTCGAAGATTTTTGATGAAAAACGAATTCCGTTGAAAACGGATGAATAAAATAAATGGAAAAGAAATTGATTTTGTGAAGGTTTTCGACGGAAAATGGATTCCGTCGAAGATTTTTGACGGAAAATGAATTCCGTAGAAAACGGATGAATAAAATAAATGCAAAAGAAATTGATTTTGTGAAGGTTTTCGACGGAAAATGGATACCGTCGAAGATTTTTGACGGAAAAGGAATTCCGTCGAAAACAGATGAATAAAATAAATGATGTGGGTTGTTGTGAGAAAGGAATTCCGTCAAAAAGGAATTCCTTTTGTAGGCGGCATACCTTCTTATTGGTTGTTGTGGGTTGCTGCCTTTCTGGCTATTTCCTTGGTGAACAAGTCTATACAATATCTTGTCTTTTTAGAGTATTGGCAAGCTGAAGCTGTCTTACTTGTGTTGGCCCTTAGGCGCCGTGGAACTCAGCTCGTCACTAAGACCTTCCTTAATTTTTAAGTTATAAGGAGGCTTCACATGATAATTGTGCAATGCTTGAGGTGTATATTCTGCGTAATGAGATCATTGCGTCTTCATGGGCACTTTCTGGACTTTAAACCTTATGGGCCCATATGTTATCCACATCAGTATTCAAATTCAAATTGTCATTTGTAACATTTATTAAATAGCCATTTGTAGCTAAGATTAAATAGTCAATTGTAACTAATATACAATTATATGCAAATTCAAATTATCATTTGTAACGTTTATTAATTAGTGATTTTTAAATGAGATATGACAACATTGTATCATCTCTATATATAGGCATCTTTCCCAAATTGAATAAAATGATTGGATACCAAATTTATTGAATACAATTCCATTTCAACCTTCTTCTTGATATATCCAATAATTGGTTCCTAGGAATTTATAGAAACGATAAAAATAAAAAATACATCAAAGTAGAAATTTATAAAAAAAATCCAGAAAACATAAAAATGATGATATAATGGTTTAAATCAATGTTATTAAACCCGGACCGGTGATCGACTCGGTCGGGATACCGGGTCAGTGGGTCACTGGTTCAACCAGTGAGTCACTGGTTCAACTGCATAAACCGGATATGTATATAAATTTATAATTTATATTTAATTATATAATAAATATTTTAAATGGTGCAAGTGAACCAAATGTAGCTTAGTGGTAAATACTACAATTTATATCTTCACAACAAGGGTTTGATTCCTACTAGATGCAATTTTTAAATAATTCTATTAAATGGTACATATTAACCAACAAACAAACTCAGCCAAGTGGTAAGTTGTTGTTAAGCATACTCATGAGACTCGAGTTCGAATCCCAGCGGCTGCAACTTTGGAATTAATTTTTCCAAAACCGGTTCGACGGTTAATACCGGTGGAACCGCGGTTCACGACCGGTTCATCGGGTCAATACCGGTTCAATAACATATCCGGTCCCTAGCAAGAATCGGTTCAAAGCTTGCACATTAATACCTTAAATGATTATGCTTTACCAAAATCAGATTCTTACAGCTAGCTGCCTTCAAACGTCTATCCTACTATGGCTCCCCAAACTGAAGGTTCTAAGAAGTACACATCATTTTAGTAATACTATTATAAACACAGTTGCTAGGTGATGACTGCATTATTCCCAACTAACTAGTATATAGCTAACAAAACTTTTTAAATGGTAAAACAAGGTCCATACTCATGCATCTAAACTAAGAATATAAGCAATCTGCCATTACAGTCAGCTATGGATATAAACACCCCATATTCTTATCAAGCATTGTGGTGCAATTATTTGCTTTAATTTATTATTTTGGGTGAGACTGAGATGAGATGCCCTAAATTTAATATAATCAAACCACTCTGTTTCATAAAACACTGGCGTGGTCCACTTAAATCGGTGTTAAACTGTTACTTGTAAAGCCAAGAGCCAGGACATTCCCCCTCCTTGTGGATGAGTTTGCTTGTGACAGAACCGCCAAACTCTTACCACAGGGGCAAAGAATCTAGATAGTTTTTCCAAGCCTCACAAAGTATCTAAAAGATATTAAAGAGAAGCAATAATAATCAGATACATATTCTCTCACTACTAGTAGACTCGTGAAAGGTCCTTCTGTTGTATTATTCAGGCTCAGGAGACTACACACTTCCACATGAATACAATATATCATTATTACATGGAAGCCAAAATCAGAACTTGACACGGATCAAATGTTGTTTAGTGAGAAATGAGAATCAAAGCATACCTTTGGTGGACCTTGATGTGGTGATAGCCACAGGATTGGGGTCTCTTCGTTCACTCAAGTTACCAATCGATGTTGAAAAATCAGGTGCTGTTTTAAATTCATTCATCTGCAAGTTTTATTAAAAAAATCCCAACAACAAAAAAGAATAGACAAAATGATGAAACATTTGATCCTAGATAGTTGCAAAACAGAGAGATGAAGTACACATGTTTCAAATGAAAGACATACCCAACTGGGTCCAGTCCCGAAGGGACCATCCCATCCAATGTGAGCCACATGCTTAATAATTCATCATTTTGCTTCCCTAATTCATCAACTAGTCTAAAACCTTTGCAGCCTATTATTACATGAACAGAGATCAGTATCATTAGCTATAGTGCCAATCTCTGTTCCTATTTATATGTTAGGTTATGTAAACCTAAGGAAGAACATAACAGAGAAAGAGAAGTTGAACAGAGAATTGGTATCGAGATTTTTATTCAATGCTTAACAATCCATTATCACAAAGCTATATACTAGTTTCCACTACTCAGTTGGTTACATTGCTAACCACGTGTCCCTCAACTAACTTCCCACCTAATGACTACATGCACAATGTACACCTCTCAGCTAAATGTTTAACCACCAATAAGCCACATGTAACTAATACTATTTAACACATTACACTGTTATACTCAAGCAACAAAATCAGTTAACTTGATAGAATGCTTTTTATCCCTATTTGATCTTCTCAGCCTAACATTCCCTTCCCCTTCAATAATGACCTTGTCCTCAAGGTCGAGAGAGGGATAACAATGACGCAATTCATGCTCTTTTTCCCATGATGCATCTTCAGGAACCGAGTTGGACCATTGAATCAGAAATTCACGCAGCTGTTGTCCTTGGCAGGATACATGGCGCATGTCCAAGATGGCTATTGGAACTTGAACAGGTTTATTATCCACAGCTGAAGAAGGTAATGGATGAGGTATAATTGGCAGAGGACCCACACATGGTTTCAGCTGAGATACATGGAATACTGGGTGAATTTGGCTGCCTAGAGGTAGCTGCAATTCGTAAGCAGTAACTCCCAACCTGCGAAGAACCTCAAAAGGGCCAAAGAATCTTTTAGCAAGCTTATGATTGGCTCTTCTCTCAACTGTCACCTGACGATACGGTTGTAAACGGGCCCAAACTTTATCTCCGACATTGAATGAACGCTCCTTATGATGTTTATCAAATTGAATCTTCATGCGGTTCTGAGCTCTCTGCAATTGTACCTTGAGTTGAACCAAAATATCATTTCGCTGTTGCAGCATGGTATCAATGGCCTCTAATTTGATCATACCCCGTGGATAAAAAGGGATCATAATGGGAGGCTTCCCAAAAACTGCTTGGTAAGGAGACATGCCTATGGAAGAATGAGTAGCTGAGTTGTAATGGTATTGTGCCCAACACAAAAAACTGCACCAGGTTCTGGGCTGTTCATAACAAAACAAACGCAAATATTGCTCAAGGTATCTATTGGTCACCTCTGTTTGACCATCAGATTGTGGATGGTAGGAAGAAGTTGTCCTTAAAGTAGTACCACTTAGCTTGAATAAATGGCTCCAAAATTTACTTAAAATAATTTGATCCCTATCTGTCAAGATGGAACGAGGGAAACCATGAATTCGTACCACCAAATCACAAAATAGAGTGGCTACTGTAGAAGCTGTAAAAGAAGTGGGTAAAGGCCCAAAGTAAGCAAACTTAGACATTCTGTCAACAACTACCAAAACAGTAGTGAAACCTTTCGAAAGAGGTAATCCAACAATGAAATCCATAGAAAGATCCTCAAAGATGCCTTCTGGAATTGGAAGAGGCTGCAATAGGCCAGCCACCTTTGAAGTTTCATATTTCACTTGTTGACATATGTGGCAATTTTGGACAAATTCTTTCACATGCTTCCTCATAGATAACCAGTAGAATGTAGCAGATAACCGCAAGTATGTCCTCAACACACCAGCATGCCCTCCAATTAACGAAGAATGAGCTTCTTTAATCAGAACAGGAATTAATGATGAGGAAAAACCAATGAAATATTTACCTTTGTAAAACAGCACCCCTTCTCGAATTACCAAATCAGGATCACTATTGGGATGGACACTTAACTTCTGATGCAACTGTAATAACTGAGGATCATGCAAATTTTGATGTTTGATTTCAGAAAGGAGATCAAACCCAGGTTCAGAAATGGAAACTCGCAAAGCAGCATCCTCATCAAAGATTCTAGATAATGCATCAGCCACTGTGTTGGAATGGCCTGGTTTATATTCAATGTGGAAAGAATATCCCATCAGTTTGCACAAGTATTTTTGTTGTTTAGTAGTATGGATCGTTTGAGAGAGAAGTTCCTTGATGCTTCTATGATCCGTTCTGATTATGAATTTGGACCCCAACAGATATTGGCGCCAACGTTTAACAGCCGTGGTGATAGCATATAGCTCTCTAATATAAGTGGAAGCACTTGCTAGTCTAGGACCTAGCTTTTTGCTAAAATAAGAAATGGGGTGCTCTCCTTGAAGCAAAACAACCCCGACACCATAGTTGGAAGCATCAGTATCTAAAACAAATATTTCCTCAAAATTGGGTAACCTCAACACAGGAGTGTGGGACATAGCATGCTTAAGCCTCAAAAAAGCTTCATCAGCCGTAGTAGACCATTGGAAATCGGCAGCTCCTTTCAATAGATTGGTTAAGGGAAAAAAGCCAAGGAAGCGTACCCCTTGACAAATCTTCGATAATAGCCAGTGAGGCCAAGGAAACCCCGTAACTGCTTAATATTTTTTGGAATGGGCCATTGGAGCATGGCAGAAATCTTCTTTGGATCAGCACTCACTCCATTGGCATCTACCACATGTCCCAAATACTCAATTGCTTGCTGCCCGAATGCACATTTATTGAGCTTAACAAAAAAACTCAGAATCCTGCAAGGATTGGAGAGTCAATTCCATATGCTTAGCATGTTCTTCAATAGTTTTGCTGAAAACCAATATGTCATCGAAGAAAACTATAATAAATCTTCTGAGATAAGGTTTGAAGAGATGATTCATGACAGCTTGGAATGTAGCAGGTGCATTTGTCAATCCAAAGGGCATAACTAAAATTTCATAATGCCCTTCATGTGTTCTAAAGGCAGTTTTGTAAGAATCAGTGGGTAGCAACCTGATTTGGTGATAGCTAGCTCTTAGGTCCAACTTTGAAAAAATGGTGGAGCCACCTAATTCATCCAACAACTCATCGATTGTGGGAATAGGGAATCTGTCCTTAATTGTGACAGCATTAAGAGCCCTATAATCAATGCAAAGTCTCCAAGAATTGTCATGCTTCCTGACTAGGAGAACTGGAGATGAAAAGGGACTATGGGAATGCTTAATGAAACCAGCTGCCAATAATTCGGATACTTGTTTCTCAATTTCAGATTTATGGCTATGACCATAACGATAAGGTCTAACATTGACAGGTTTGGTGCCTTCCTCCAAATGAATTGAATGGTCTAGTCCTCTAAATGGGGGTAAACCACCAGGTAGTGAAAACACTTTCTGAAATGTCAGCAATATGGACCACAATAGAGGATGAATTGCTGGTTCCAATTCTGCCAACCCAGGAATGTTGGTGACCTGCAAATTAGAATCCTGGTCTACATGCAAAGAATTGCACATTGCCCACTCAGAAGTGAGAAAAACATTCAAGCTAGAAGAAACAGAATTTCCATTTTGCCCCTGTAAAGAAATAGAGCTACCTTCCCACACAAACTCCATTGACTTCCTTATATAATCATGAGTTACTTTACCAAGACCTTCCAACCAAGGCATGCCCAATATAACCTCAATATCAGATAAATCCAAAATCCACAAATCACATACAAACAAATTTCCCTGAATCAACAATGGAACCTTCAGACATTTCTTTTCAGAATACATTACAGCACCATTACCCAAAAACACCCTAATTCTGTGTGAATGAGACATAGGTAAGGACAGATGAATTGCTAGTTGTTTCTGGATGAAATTGTGAGTACTGCCAGAATCAACTAAAATAGAAAATGGCCTACCTCCCAAAGCTGACTTGAAAACCAAAGCACGAAAATGGTTTTTGTCACTTAAAGTATGTAGTGAAGCATCCTTAGATTCACCAACTGAGTTATCAGCCTGCCAAACAATCTCTTCCTCCTCCTGAGCATCCTGTAATTCCTCCTCTTCCCCCACCAATAACATCAATTTGTTCTTACAGATGTGTTTGGAAGTCCACTTCTCATCACAAGTAAAGCATAAGCCCAATTCTTTCCTCTTATGTAAATCAGCATTAAACACCCTTTTCAACTGATTAGATGGTGGTAAAGCCAACCTTGGTTGATTGGAATGTGGATGGGAAGTACCGTGAGCAACTGTAGCAGTGTTGGAACCACCTGAAGACACCTCAGTTACTTGAACCGGTTTGGGAAAAAATTTCTTTGGAGCTCCTTGAAAGGAATTCTTTAAGTCACTAAAGTGATCATCATAAGCCATGGCAAGTTGAATGGCTTGGTGCAAGGATACAGGTTCGCGTAATTGGACAGCACCTCTAAGCTCAGATTGAAGTCCCGAAACAAAGAAATTCATAAGAAGATCATCATCTAAATCTGGAATTTGATTAACCAAAGCCTCAGATTGTTGAATAAAAAAACGAAGAGATGAGGATTGGGTCAGTTTTGATAATGCTCCTTTTAAATTGGTAAAGCCAGGCAAACCAAAACGTTGACGAAGAGCATAAGTGAAGTCACACCAAGCACGAGCTTTACCTGTGTTAAAAGTCCATTGAAACCAGGAAGCAGCATTGCCGTCCATTTTCAACCCAGCCAAGGCTACCTTTGAATCTTCTGGAATCATCTGCAGAGTGAAGAACAGTTCAGCTTTAAAGATCCAATTATTAGGATCATGACCATTGAAAACTGGTATTTCCATGCGGACACCCTTGAGTAAGGAACGATGCTCCATAGTCTCTGGTCGATGCGAATTGTGAGAAGGAGATGGAGTATTGAGATGTGACGAAGCGTGCCGCTGTGCTTGATCAGCAAGGAGAGAATCATGTAACTGTTGCATTTGATTAACCAGCAACGAAATCTGGGTTCTGGTCTCAACATCTTGTCGTGTTGCTTGCGCACGAAGTTCCTCAAAATTTGTCTCCACACGTTGTTGAAAGGAATGCAATTCCTCAGAGAGTTCTTGAACCTTCGTCATCGAAGCAAGAACGTGAGTACTGGATGAAAGCACCAATGTTAGGTTATGTAAACCTAAGGAAGAACAGAACAGAGAAAGAGAAGTTGAACAGAGAATTGGTATCGAGATTTTTATTCAATGCTTAACAATCCATTATCACAAAGCTATATACTAGTTTCCACTACTCAGTTGGTTACATTGCTAACCACGTGTCCCTCAACTAACTTCCCACCTAATGACTACATGCACAATGTACACCTCTCAGCTAAATGTTTAACCACCAATAAGCCACAAGTAACTAATATTATTTAACACATTACACTGTTATACTCAAGCAACAAAATCAGTTAACTTGATAGAATGCTTTTTATCCCTATTTGATCTTCTCAGCCTAACATTATACCCCACAACCCTCCTTCCCATTCAGTTAAAGCTTCTCCTCTTCAGTTATTACAGTTGTTTCTCTCATCACACTCCTGACAAGGGGATGAGCTAAAAAGAGGTATCTGAAGGATACAAACCACATAGCAAAATTGCAATGATCTTTAATTAACCTACAAATGTTATTAAGCCTGAAGCAGCAAAAGAAATTTGATAATAGACAAGAAGTAATAACAGCACATAGAAACATGGAGAATTACAACGCACTTGGATTAAAATTTTCTAAAATTACCATTAGATAAAACATCTTCATTAATCAGCAATTAGAAAACATAAAAAGATATGTGTTCTGGAATGTTGTCATATAGCAAACAAGTAACACAAGGAGTTGGGGAACTAACTTACGAGTAAAATGAAGTCCCCTTTCTTTGCATCCATAGTAGTATTTAGAATATTGTGATTTCCAAATATCAATTGGCGCGCGATCATTTCCATCCTACAAAGACTCACATCAATTATTCTATACGTTTAGTAGCATAAATGAAATTTATAAATGAGACCACACTAGCAACATGAAAAACACCAAAGTAATGCATAGGGGCGGTTTTTTAACTCCCCCAGTACCACCGCCATCAAATCCCTTTTTTCTTATAGTGACCTCTAACAGAATAGGATCCACCACATCGTGACGAATGAGCTCGAAACTCGGGTTCCCAAACAAGTGCACCAGGTTCTCCTTCCTCTCAGTGAAGAAATTATCAATCACAATCACGTCTTTCCCTCTGGCAATCAAAAATTGTACAATTAAATCAAAAAACCTAATTAATCCCAAAAAAATTTCAACTACAATTGGGATTAGGGTTTACAAATTGATTCCATGAGCTGCAAAAAGATATGGATGGAGAAGCTACTCACGAACGAAATACAAGAGAGAGATCTAAATAAGATAGTTAAAGAATCAGTGAGGAAAATACAAGGAAGATGAACAATATTCGAGTGCTTGGTTGCAGAGAAATACCAAGAAAATAAGAGAGAAAATCATTTGAGAAAAGCGAGATAGCCACCGAGTCACAGGGATCTGTTGTCGTGTAGTAGATAGTTATTCAAAGAGAGAGAGGGAAATAAGAAAGATCTATACAAGGAGGTTGGGAAGAAGAGGAAGAGCAATGTGAGCTGAGAAAGTGCGTAGAATTATTTGAAAGGATAATGGTTATAATATTCCAATGGTAAATTCCAAAGAAATAATGGTACATTTATCATAACCCATCTTATCATTCCTTTATGAACCTAATCAACCGCGTTTATACACAACCGACTTTATACATCCGCCAGAAAATACCGAATTTATTGTAGTGGCCTTACTATTACTAATCTTTTTTTTGGGAAGTTCGTCTTAATTATCTCTTTGAGATAAATCAGAACTCTCAGGATTCCTACGGGTTCGACTCTTTGAGCTGTCTATGAGACTAATTCAGAGTTCGGGTGCGAGTCCAAGGATTACGATACTTATGTCCCTCCCCAGATGATGTTGATGGGATACTATTACTAATCCTTTTGTGCAGTAAAGAAGCTAAGTTTTTATATAGCAAATTGTCTTGAGAGACTAAGAATAAATTATAGATAGATTTTTAAGTCCAACAAATCAATTGACAATCAGCAAGTATTTTCAAATGATAAAATTTTCAAGTCGAATAAATGAATTAATAAACTAATTTATCATCTATTATCACACCATTCGGAAAAAATTTAAAATTAAAAAAAAAATGTATTAATATCAGCATTAACTATAATTCAATGATTTCTTTTTTTGATAAACAAAAGGACATTACACCCAACAAAAACAAAAAAGAAAAAGAAAACAAACAACATAAAATCTTAACCAGGGAGAAGCACATTACACACTCTCCCAAGAGACGCAAAATCAGCCATGCATAAAAGGTAGACTCCATGTAGGGATTCTTCAAAGAAAATTTGGTCAGCCTAATGCTATGCATTTAAAAGATAATTGGTAATTCAATCTGCACACAAGTTCCTTCCATAAAAGTAAATTGAATGTGAACCTTCCACTTCTTATCAATCCATGTCCGTATACGAGATAATAGGCACATCTCACAAACTATTGCACCAACTTTGGTGAGTCCAATGATTGCTAGCTGCATCGTCAGAATTGATCTTCACATAGCCCATTGCAGGAAATTGCCAAGAAATGTTAAGTTGGCTATAATCACTTCTAATACGAAGACTTCCCGAACTACTAACAGCAACCTCAATATCCAACACCAGTCTCCTTTTTATCTCAAGTTTGGAGTCAAGAATCGGGGTATCTTCTCCTTGATTCATCATGTTTCTCCAATCCAATGCCAGATTTTCCAACAAGAAACCAAGAAAAAAGTTAGCTAGCACATGTTGTTAACAATCCTTGAAGAATCACCAATATTATCAGCCAGCCACATAGAAAGATCTTGACTAAAAAAATCTGGTCTCATCTGTTGAGGTAAGAATTTTTCCTATATTTCCTTTCCACAATCCCTTAAAGCACGGAGAATTGTTTCAACACCTCCTTTAGCTCGGGCAGGTGCTGTCACCACCATTCCAATCCGAAATTCTGCTTTTAGTTAACAGTCTATTATGCATCAATTTCCATCCAAAAATTTTGACCTTTTGAGTAGGACCCTTTCACTAGAGACGATCCCATTGCTTTTTGTCATCATCCTCCACTCTCCCATGATTAGTAATGTAGTTATATAAAGCACTGACAGTGACTACATTACTCTCATATAGGTTCCACACACGCTTATCAGGTCCATTAGCAGAATTAGGAGGCAAGGTGCTCCTTATCAAATTGATGATGTTATTTGGAAGCCAAGATCGAATAGTATCGAGCTCCCATTCTCCTACGTTTGAGACCAAATCAACAACTTTTTTTTTTTTGATATAAATGGAGGGCCTAGCCCAGAAAAATTAAACATAGAGTTTATGCATGCTCATAGAGGCATGCTCCACCAACAATTTTGAACAAAAAGAGAACCAACAAGAAACAACACTATCAGTGGGAGACTCTAGTAGCCTTAGCTCACCACTCTTAAGATTTAAACCCATCTTTGCCAAACTATCAGCACAAGAATTAAAGTCTCTTGAAATATACTCCAACTGGATATTCTCAAAGGTTTGGGCAATTTCCTTAATATTAGCAATCAAAGCAGAATAGCCACAGGGGTACGCATTGTCCTCTGCACAAAGGATAGCCTCCTTGCTGTCACTTCCCAGCCATACACAAGGGAGGTTCAGCTCTCTAGCAAGTTTTAGCCCTTGGAAAATTCCCCACAATTCAGCCTCCAGAGGGGAGCAAGGCCCTGTGTTATAGGCAAAACCTCTTATCCAATTTGCATCAGCTGAAACCGCTACTCCACCACAAGCTCCAGTATGGGGCAATAGACTAACAGCCCCATCTACGAAGATTTTGATGCTTCCCTCGTTCCCCTTCTGTCTAAGGCTGTCACTGTGATTACACTGACCAGGCAAAATAGTAAAAGGATCAGCATTCCTGCTACATTTCATTTCGGCCAGATAATGCAGAATTCTTTGAATAGGATCATGGGGTCTGGAGAAATTTTCAACATGAATCGAGGAGTTCCTCCAAAACCACAGGAACCAGCAAGTGACAAAAAAGATTTCAGACCAGGAATGCCAAAAGTGTGAATGAAAAGGCTTGAGAAGATTAAGCCTGAACCAGTCTATACCTTCTGCAGACAGAAAAGTATTGGGAACCTTACCCGCAAACCACATTTCCCACACTTCCCTGGCAGCTTTGCAATCTCTCAAAGTGTGGACTAAGGTTTCCTGATCATCAAAGCAGGTGGGGCAGAGAACTTCACTTCCACTCCATTGGCTGGTTATACTCCTAACAGGGAGCTTGTTGAGATATGCAAGCCAAAGGAAGACAGCAATTCTATAGGGGCCCTCCCATTTCCATATAATTGACCAAAGTCTATCTGTAACACGGTTTGATTTCATAAGATGGCTGTATGCATTTCTGACTATGGATTTACCTGGATTGCCCACCTTCCAATTAATCCAGTCCTTAGAGCTGCTGTGAGAAGGAGGAGAGAAATTTCTCAACTTTGAGCAGGCAGAAATATCCAAGAAATTACCTAGGTAGTCCCACTTCCAGTCATCTGTTTCATTATCAATTAAATCACAAACTTTCATACTGAGGTCAGCCATAGGAGGTTTGGTCACAGCCAGATCAAACAGAGAACACTGCCATCCTCCCCAAATATCAGTCCAGAAGTATGTCGTCCTTCCATCTTCAATTACCCATTCCAACTGATTAGTCATCTTGATTCTTGCCGAGCAAATACTCTTCCACAGGTTCGAATCATGCGTTTTAGCAATCCAAATGCCATTAGCATCCTGCTTCCTGCCGTACTTGGCAAGCAGTACCTTAGCCCAAAGGCTATCCTGGTCCTTCATAATTTGCCAAGCAATCTTCTGCATAAAAGCTTCGTTTTGAACTCTAAGATTGATGATCCCGAGTCCCCCACCCTCCTTAGGCTGACACATGAGCTCCCAGGCTACATAATGAGCTTTCTTTTTGGAGTCTAAGTCTCCCCAAATAAAATTTCTTTGCAACTTCTCAATGTCTTGACACACATGCACTGGAATGGAATTATTTTGCTTGTGATAACAAGGAATGGCAGAGAGCACACTTTTGGCCAAAGTGATTCTGCCAGCCAGGGACAGACACTTTGCCTTCCAGCCATGAAGCTTTTCCTGCACCCTGGCTATTACAGCTGCATAATGGTTCTTGTTAATTCTTCCATGTCTCATCATAGTTCCTAGATAGCAGCCAAGCTTGTCCACTTTCTTGAATCCACTAATTTCAGTAATGGATTGCACTACCTCCTGAGTAGCATTCTTCGAAAAGTAAATGCATGACTTTTCTATGCTAACACTCTGACTTGACATCTTCGAAAATTTCTCCAGACAATTAACTATGCAGTTGATTTGATCAAGTGAAACCTCTGCAAATAATATAATGTCGTCTGCAAACATAAGATGAGATATTAGGGGACCAGATCTGCCAGCTCTTATTGGAAGCCAATTCTTCACTTCCACTTCATCCATAATCAAGTGGGTTAACTTCTCCATGCAGAGAACAAAGAGGTAAGGGGAGAGGGGATCTCCTTGCCTAATTCCCCTCTTGGACTGAAAACTAGCGGTTCTAGTGCCATTCCAAAGGACTTCCAGATTTGGGCTGGCCACACAGCCCATAATGGCTCTAATCAGTGTCTCAGGAAACTTCAAATCTTCCAAAACAGATTTAATAAACTTCCAATCGAGCTTGTTATAACACCTCACAATTTTAAATCAAGTAATTAAAATATTAAGTGAGCAATCAAGTGATGGATTAGTGAAAATCCAAAAGATTAGGCCAAAATACAAAGAAAGGGCAAAACGGTAATTAGCCAACACGCAACCCTAGGAAGATAAAAATTGAGTAGAAGGTCTCAGATGGTAAAAATAACCCTGGAAATGGGTTCAGAACGAAAAATTGAGTGGACAGGCAAGTTTCAGAAAAATCAGTGAATAGTGTTTTTCGCGGGTAAAAATACCGCGGTACGATTGCACCGTAAAACGTGCCGATTGAGTTTTGAGCTCTAGGTTTCAAATATGAGTTGTAAATGTTTTTTTGAGTTAGGAAATATGATTTTGATGAAATTTGATGGAATTGAGTCATTTTGGGAAAAATTGATGAATAGTGATTTTCCGGTGTAAAAATACTGCGGTATAATTGTACCGATAAGCGTGAAAATTTTATCAGTATTTTTGGGAAACAAAAATATGACATGAACAAGAAAAATATGTAGGTCATGAATTTGTGGTTGAAATTAGGTGATTGATTAAAGTTAAAACGCGTGTGGGACCCGCCTGTGACTTAAGTGAGTCAAACTCACCTTTTTTTCACACTTTCTCTCTCCTCCCTCTCTTCTCTCCCGCGTGCAGCAGCCCCTCCATGGCCAAGAATTGCTCAAGCTTTCTTTCTTCCATAACTTGGTCAAATCTCCTCCGAATCCAACGATTTTTGTCTTGAAACTTGTTGGAAAACACCTCCTAAACACATTGGTACCACTCTTGAGCCTTGAAATCGCGTGTGTGAGGAGATCTTGGCCATTTACAGCTGCGGTTTTGGTGAGGAATTTTGTGTTCTTGGAGCTTCCAAGTGCTCCAATGGTGGAGTATAGTTAGGAGGAGCCTTGTACCTTCCATTTGGGTGAGTGTTCTTGCATTTTAAATGGTGGATGGTGATGATTTGATTTTGAAAACCTAAACTTTGATATGATGAATAGTGACGTTAGAGAGCTCAATTTGAAAATGTGTATTAGATGATAATGTGTTAGAATGATGTATTAAAGCTAGAAATGCGATGAAATTTATTGGTGAAAATTGATGAATTTAACTTAGAAAAATTTGATGATCATGATTTTGGACTTGTGAATTTTGGTGTTGAGACTTGTTTGATGAATTGTGGCATGATGGTATGATGATATGATAGGTTGTGTGAAGGTTGGAGTGATTAAAATTGAATGGAAATTCTTTGGAATGTCATAGGGCAAGATTCGAACCTTTGAGGAAAAATGAGTGAATTGATGATGAAAAATGATTTGGATGATGATTTGTGTAGTTATATAGTGCTTAGATGGGTTGTGTTGTGATTGGCAAGTGTTAGAATCAATGGAAAAATAATAAGTGGTTTAGTTGGCATAAATGAACCTAGAGCGAAATATTTAGCGAAACGATGCTTAAAAGACATAAAACGGCGAAACGACAGTTGAAATGGCCTTATGGCAACCCAAGGATGGGTACTATAATGAGAAAGAAAATTTAGAAAAATAAATCCCCAATTAACACCTATATGGCCGAACCTCCAAGGGAAAAAGGGGGGATTTTGCGGTTTTCGCTTTCTGATGTAATCCGACGCGAAAATGACGAACCGGCACTTGAATTGGCTTATTGACAACCTAATGAGACGTAACAAAATGAGAAAGAAAATTTAGAAAAATAAATCTCACATTTACACTACAATGGCCGAACCATCAAGGGAAGATGGGGAGGATTTTTGTGTTTTTGCGTTTTGATACTATTTGACGAGTACTGATGGATGTACGTTATTGTATAGGTTGCCGTACATCGACCTGAATCCCGAATCTTGAATCAGTGAATTGCCCTTGGTCCGGGACCAAGTGGATTGAGGTAAGAAATTGGTTCATTGCATGTGTAATTATAAATTAACATGTATGGGTTGAACTGAGAGTGATTGGGAATGTCCTCTGTGTAGGCATTCCGCTGTGTACCGAGTTGAGGGATAAGCTGCTACGGAGCTTGTGGAAACACGAATTAAGGTAACCTCTTGGTACTGGGGCTTGTTCCCCTTTTCTGTTCCACCTTGCCAGTTGATGGCAACGGTAGGAAGTGTGTATGAATAGTATAGAACACATGAGCATGCATGCATTATTGCTATGGGTACTGCGGTACCGAGTCTCTGGCCAGTAGACAGTTTTATTAGCCTTCGGGCATTTTCGGACTTCCGCTGGATAGGTCTCCAGGAGGGAGTTCCAGTTGACTGCGGTCATGGTGTGTGATCCGGGTAGGAGCACACTAGGAATGTCTTTGGCGTTTTGGTTGGTTTGGGCATCATGGTTGTGGTTTCTGTGAACACACCTTGGATGATACCCATAGGCTTATATATGCCGAGGGCGTACGTGGAATTGGTGTTACCATCCCGTATCGTCGTATTTTGTTTTCTTTATATTCCCCATTCTCTAAATCCCTTGCTATATCCCGTTTTCAAAGTGGTTGTTGTATTCTATTGATATGCATCGAAGTGAACCATTGGGTGGAGTTTTCTCCAGAACCTCTTGGTTACTGAGATATATTCGTATATCTCACCCCGTCTCGGGGCATTTATTTCAGGAGGTAGCAGTGGAGCAGGAGCCTCGGGCAAGAGGCCCGCAGAGTGAGCGCTGGAGCGCTTCATATTTTGCATTTTGTTGGCCGTGTGGCCTAGGCTAGACTTAGGGCATGAACATGTCATTTGTATTTATTAGTAGCTTCATTAGCATCTTGTTCATGCCATTTTGCCTAAGTCTAGTAGTGATGTATTTGGTTATGTTGTCTTTTAAATTAAGTTGAAATTTTAGAAGAATGTAATTTGAAGTTTTAGTTTCAAGTTGTAATTTGTAAAGCCATATTGTAATAGTATTGATGCATGTCTAATTATGATGGAAGGGCCTTAGGCCTATTTTAGGTTATGATAATATGTATGATGGAAATATGCACGAAAAAAATGTTAGTGATTGCAACTACTTAAGAATGATTAATATGGACTCTATGTTTAATAACTATAAACTGGATTGGGTTGTAAGTGCCCCAAGGCGTTGTTGGTCCTTGTGTGTGCCACCCATTGGATTATTACTGTATTATCATGTGTTTATTAGGTACATTTGAGGTTTAAATGATCTTTTACAAATTTGGGATTATTGGAAAAACAAAGGAAACTCTGGCGAATTTTCTGTAGAATTGGCAGATTTTAGGCAAACTTCGGGAGAGCATATCTCCCTCCATAGAAGTCCCCTAGGGACGTGCCATACGCCATTTTGAAGGTTGAGATGTCCTCTACCTTGTGTCAAAATTTAAGGAAATTCTGGGTTGATCTTCGGCCTGAAAAAAATAGAGAAACACGGACTGCCCATGTGCCCCTGCACCTGAGGCAGATTCTGGACCGGATTTGGGAAATTAATTCCCGCTTCGTTTCTCCGCCAAATTAAGCGTGTAATATATCAAAATGAAGTTTTAGATGTCTAGTTTGTGGGATAAAAATTTGAGAGCAAATGGTTGAGCGGATTGAGTGCAGTAATTCGAGTAATGTGAGTGGTTTGGAGCTGTTTTTGGGGTTGTTTGGGCTAATTGCTTATCCAACTTCAAACGGCGATAACCGGAGCAAATGAGCTCCGAATTGAGCGTATGATAGCTTGTTAAAAAGGGAATTAAGTAATACAAAAATATAATTTGAGAAGAAGGGTTGGTTGCGATCGGTTTGGTCGCAGAAAAATTTAGAGTGAAACATGTTCGAATTGGTAAAAATGTAAAGTTGGAAATAGGCTAAGTGGGTTTATGGGAACTCCTTAGTAACTCATAATAAATGATGTAAGTTATAAAAAATAGTTGAAATAAGTCTTCCGCAAGAGTTTACGGTTACGGTCACAGCTTTTAATTATTACGCTTTTTATGATTTAAATGCTCGCGTAATAGTCGGAAAAAAATTTATTCTCGTTTTTTTAAATGAACTGCTGTGATTGTAACTGCGCTTAATATCATAATTAATGTTAACAATACCGGTACGTAACGGGCTGTTACACTTGTCATAGGCCTTTTCGAGGTCAATTTTAATAGACAAGAAGCTCTTTCTCCCTTTCATCCTATGCATTGAGTGTATGAGCTCTTGAACAATTATGATATTGTCCTGAATATGTCTCTTAGGTACGAAGCTAACCTGATTAGGTGAAATAAGCTCACCAAGAAAGGGTTTAATTCTATTAGCAATGATCTTGCTAAATCCCTTATAAACTGAATTACAAAGAGCAATTGGCCTAAATTGCTTCATCAAGCAAGGCCTTTCCACCTTCGGGATTAACACTAACAAAGTCTGATTTACCTCTCTGATACTGGCAGGACTCCTCATAAAGGTTTGCATACTAATGAGAATTTGCTCCTTGAGAATCTCCCAATTCTTGTGATAGAAAATGGCTGGAAATCCATCAGGTCCTGGGGCTTTCAGAGGGGGCATTTGGAAGAAAGCCTTCTTCACTTCCTCCAAAGAAACATCCAGATTCAAACTTCCCAGCTGATCTAAATTAATAGATGGCCAAGAATTGCTCGTTTGGAACCAAACAGCTTCCTCTGAGGCTTCCTGAAAAAGATTCTGATAGAAATCCCTAGCAAGTTCAATAAGCCCATCCTCATCAGTCACCCAATGCCCATTCCCATCCTGAAGCTTGATTATTTTATTCCTTTTTCTTCGGATAACAGTACTAGTGTGATAAAACCTAGTATTTCTGTCGCCCCCTCTTATCCATTCTCCCCTATATTTCTGGTACCAAATTTGCTCCTCTTGGTCAAGGATCTCAGCAAGTTCTTTATGCAGCTTATCTTCCAAAACTTCAAACTGAGAACTGTTTGAGGAGCAGATCTGTTTTTGTATACCTTCCAATCTGGCTATCACCCTATTTTTTCTTAGCATAGTGAACCCAAATACCTTCTTATTCCACTCCTTTAATAGTGGAATTAGAGCATTTAAACTGTCCAGTAAACCAGCAGTAGGATCCCAATTGGCTTTTAAAAAAGAGTAGAATCTAGCATCATTCTGCCAGGTGGCCAGGAACCTAAAAGGTCTCTCTCTCCACCCATTATCCTCCTTCTCCAATCTAATCAAAATAGGGCAGTGGTCTGAGAAGAGTCTAGGGAGAGTAATCACATCTGAATCCTCAAAAGAGGCTCTCCAATCATCATTAGCAACAGCTCTCCTTTTATACACTCTATCAAGGTGAAGGAATTTTGGACCCTTCCAAGTGAACCTATTTCCCCCTCCACCCAAGTCCATTACCCCACAAGAGCTCAGAACATTAGCAAAATGGTTGCATCTATTTACATCCACAGGCCCACCTCCCCTCTTTTTAGAGGCCTGAGCAATCTCATTGAAATCCCCAGAAAGAAGCCAGGGGCCATTCATATTTCTACCCAAGTGTTTCAGCTCCTCCCAGAGAATCCTACGTTTTTCCTCTTGAGGGTTTGCATACACCGCAGTCCAAAAGAAACCCTTCATTCCAGGAAACTCCACCCAGCAATGGATAAACTGATTATCTCTAACCAGAAGAGATATGTTAACCTCTCTATTATTCCAAACAACCCATATACCACCCGCAAAACCATGGGCATCAGCAACTATGTGATTTGTAAAACCCAAGCTACGAATTATTCTAGAAGCCTTGCTACCACTCACCCTTGGTTCAAGAATAGCAGCCACTCCTACATTATGCTTCCTACAGAATATATTAAAGGTACCTTTGAACTGCTTTTTAGCAGCTCCTCTGCAATTCCAAGTAAGGATATTCATAATGAATTCTGAGTTGATTGCAAGATTAACAAGCTCTTGCAACTTTGCTCAGGAATATCACCCTCTGCCATCACATTATCACAGCTGACTCCACCTTCAACATTCAAACCATTACTCAGCTTAATGCATAATGATAAGTCAACATCCATACCTGCTTGGCTTCCATCCCTATTAGGCCCCTCACTTCTGGTTGGGTCAGGAGGGTCCGGATCTGCCACAGGAAGCTTGACACCTCCATCATCAACTGAAACCTCCTTGCAAGGTTGCCTAAATTTGCCCTCATTCCAGAAACAATCATCCACCATCACCAGATCACTCCATAGTCCCCCTTTCAGCTGCACATCTGGTTGAGATGAGTTTGAGTGGGCCTTGCAAGTTCTGATTCCATTATTCGAAACAGAATTAGGTGGGATGGACCCAGCTGATCCCTTTCCTTTCACAATCGGGTTCCTAGAGGCAGTCTTCTTGTAGCCATATACATTGGCCTTGTTTCCTACTGACTTCTTATCCTGGGAAGGAGCTACTGCATTAAACTCCATCCCCAATCCAGCCTCTTGAACCACATTCTCATTATGCTCCTTTGCTAAATCTCCATCTGCACTCGGCAGCTTCACCTGACCCTTTTCCTGAGAGGTTGATCCACTGCTGTTCATAGTAACTGACTCCATAGTGCTCTTCTTATTAGAAATATCCTCTCCGAATCTTCTATTAGTCTGAATGTCCTTATTCTGGAAATTCGGTTGGGTTTTCTTCCTCCTCTGGACCACCATCCAATCCCATATTCCTTGAGGCCTGGTATTCTCCATTGGCTGATCTTGGTCCTTTCCAGACCCGGTTGAAGGTGCGGGTTTAGCAAATTCAGGGCAAGTTTCCGAGTTATGGCCATACCTCCCACACTTAAGGCAGATCAGAAACAAACCTTCATATTCAACTTTTTTCCTGGCCCCATCAAGAATGTATTCACCTCTCAAAGGCATGGAGAGGTCAATTTCGATGCATACCCTAGCAAAGCGCGCTCTATCACCTGTAGACGTGATTCTGTCCACTTTGAGAACCTTTCCAATCACTGTTCCCAGATGATTTAGGAACGGGAATTCGCAGTACTCCTGAGGAATGCCTGGAAGGCGGACCCAGGCAGCCACCTTATGGATGTTGGCTTTGTCAGGGTCGAATCTTGGTTCCCATTTTCTCGTGGCTAAGTAGTGCCCTAGGATTACCCAAGGCCCTCCCGTTATAGCTAAATTGAGATCTTCCAGATTACTGAAACGAACTGAGAAGAAATCATTACCTAGATCAGCCACCGTGATACTCCCCGCCTTAGCCCAGAGAAATTCCAGCTTCCTCTTCATGAAACCCACTCCAATCTTTTTCCCCAAGAGCTTGACAATAAGAGCATTCTTCCAACGCTGACACATCCTAGATCTGGCTTCGTTGTTGCTCTTAATCTCAACAGACCCATCCTCGTTGATGATCGTTTGAAAACCCCATTCAGAGATTGCACCCAAACTCGGGTCCAAGGGTTCCACGTCCGGAACTTCTTCCGCAGCTAACCAAGGGAAAGCGGCTCCAGCAACGCTGTTCTCCTCGCCAGTCATTTCAGCAAAAGACCTCTGTTTCACCATCCCCGAAGGGTTCGATTGGAAATCTTTCACCACTTCCCGCATACGAATCTCAGTGGGAATCTCCTCCCCACACTTCGTTCTCTTGGTACTTTTCCTCGCCATGGACAAAGCTTCATTGTTGTTACCAGCCAGAACCTCCATTGAAAGCAACAAAGACAATGTTGAAGAAAAACCCTAGCAGAGGGAAATTTTCGCGCGCGCGTGACTTTACTCGCCTAACCCATTACTTTCTCTTGCTAGCTTTTTTAATCAACAACTTTTAGATTCTCATTAATCATATGATCTTCTCCCATAACCAATTCCTCCAAAGGCC